ACGAGCCTGCTCCACGGGGCGGGGCCCTAAAGATGAGGAACGTGCACTCGGGAAGCAACTATGTGAAGCTCTCCGACAAGAGATATGGTTTGAGGCAGAGATCCAGAGTTCTCTGGCTTCGCAAGGGTGACCGTAACACAGGCTATTTCCATGCCCAAGCGGCTCAACGAAAGCGGTCGAATAAAATTGAGTTCTTGGAGAAAGCCGATGGTTCAACGTATCAGACTTTTGAAGAGAATTGTGCAAAAGTTCAAGGTTTCTATGAAGCTTTATATACCTTCCAGGGTTTCCAACCTATGGACGAGTTGATCAATCTGGTTCCGCCCAAGGTGACGCCGCCCATGAATGAACACCTTGATAAACCTTTCACAACCATGGAGGTGAAGACGACATTGTTTCAAATGGCACCAGCCAAAGCACCGGGGGTGGATGGCTTCACGACGTGGTTTTTTCAGCGGCACTGGGATCTTCTTCAAGATGATATAGTGCTGGCTATCTTGGATTTTTTGAATGGGGGTGAGTTGCCAGTGGGAATGAATGACACCTCTATTACTCTTATACCTAAGGTAAGGTACCCACGGCGCATCTCTCAGTATAGACCCATTTCCTTATGCTTTGTGTTATACAAAATCGCTTCCAAATGCATTGCCAACATAGCTAGGGAATTCCTCGGAGACATTGTAAGTGAGGAGTAGAGTGCTTTTGTTCCCGGGCGCCTCATTACTGATAATGTACTAATTGCTTATGAGAGTGTTCATGCGATGAGGAGGCGTAAGAAGGGGAGAAATCACGTGTGTGCTGTCAAGCTTGACATGATGAAAGCATATGACCGCGTGGAATGGCATTATCTGGAAGCTATCATGCTAAGGTTGGGCTTCAGCACAAGGTTTGTGAGACTGACAATGAAATGTGTGACATTTGTCAGGTTCACTGTACGAGTGAATGGAGAACTGTTGCCTTGTTTCACTCCATCAAGGGGTTTACGTCAGGGGGACCCCTACTCGCCTTATCTGTTCTTACTCTATGCAGAAGGATTCGCTAGTCTGTTAAACAATCTGGGTGGGCAACATGTGGACAGAGGAATTAGGGTGAGTAATCATTCGCCTGGGGTGAATCACCTTCTCTTTGCTGATGATAGTTTAATTTTTATGAATGCAAAAGAAGCTAGCGCCGGAAGGTTGAATCAAGTTCTTAGGATCTATGGTGGATGCTCTGGATAGTGTGTAAACAGAGAAAAAGCTCTATTTTCTTCAGTCCCAACACACCAGATCCAGTCAGACAGAGGCTGAAGTATCTTATAGGAATCACGGTTGAAGCCTTCAATGAGAGATATTTGGGTTTACCTACTGCAACTGGGTGAATCACAAGCGAGACTTTTGATCACCTAAATGAGAGGATGAGAAGCAAGCTGCATGGGGGGGTACAGAACGCATGATTTCATGTGCAGGAAGAGAGGTTCGGTTCAAATTCGTGGCTCGGGTCATACCAGCGTTTTCTATGAGCTGCTTCAAGCTAAGGAAGAAAGTTTGCAAGGGTTTATCATCATATATGGCGCGTTACTGGTGGAGTAGCTCGCTTGATCGTCGATCCTTGCACTGGGTTGATTAGGATTCCCTTGCTACCCCGAAAGAGAAGGGAGGGATGGGTTTCAGAAACTTACAGTTGTTTAACCCGGCCCTCCTGGGGAAACATGGTTGGAGACTCGTTACTAGCCCTAACTCGCTATGTGCACGAGTGCTCAAAGTTAAGTATTTCCCAAACACTGACTTCTGGGAGGCCTTCACGCATCCACTTGCTTCCTCAACCTGGCGTGTGCCATCTTGGCAGGGAGAGAGGCCCTAGAAGCTGGGATGATCACAAGGATTGGAGATGGCACAATGGTGTCGATTTGGAGCGACCCTTAGGTTCCAGGGCTGCTATCCATGAAACCGTCTGTGGAATTAGGGGCTACTAATTTAGCCACGGTCTCAGACTTGATTGATGACGAAACTAGGAGATGGAAGATCAATGTCGTGAGGGAAAACTTTATAACTCCTGAAGCCGATGCAATACTGAATATTCCCTTAAGGCGTATGGGAGGGGATGATTATTGGGCATGGTCAGCAGAAAAGGAAGGAGTCTATACTGAAAAACCAGCGTACCGAACTCTAATGATTCATAACGAGCATCGTGCTCTAGAAGAAGGGTCGGTCACAGAAGCATCGGAGACAAATAAGCAGTTATGGACAAGACTTTGGAAGCTGAACGTGGTGCCAAAAGTCCGCGTGTTCTGGTGGCGAGTGCTTCGAGGAATTCTACCTGTCGAAAGTACTCTCAAACACAGACATATTACAACTCTAGCCAGATGCAAAGTGTGTCTGGCAGCAGATGAGGACATGTATCATGCATTGATAAAATGCAATCTTGTAAAGAGGTTCTGGAGGGAAGCAGGCGAGTGGGTCAACATCAAGCTCCCAGAACTGTATGAATTGACGTGGTCTAGAGATATTCTCTGTGATGCTAAGTTTGATGCAGCAGACAGGGCAAAAATCATTACGGTCATGTGGGCCATCTGTACATCTCGCAACAATGACACCCACGACAGGGCCAGTATGGATCCGGTTCAGTCACTAAAGATGATGAGAGATGCTCTTGTGGTGTTGGAGCTCCCGACCAAGCACGCAAGCATACTACCGGGCCATGGGTGGAGACCACCAGAGGGAGAGTTGACTAAGATCAACACCAACGCTGGTATTTCTATGCAGGAGCATAGAGGAGGGATTGGGGGTGTTGCTCGTTCATCTTCAGGTTTTATTGCTGCCTGGTGTAAACCTTGCCCAGGCAATACAGATCCTCTCGTCGCGGAGGCACTAGCTATACGTGAAGGTGTGATTGTGGCAACACTTCACGGCTTTGCGCGTGTGGAGATTGAGACAGATAGCTTGAAGGTGGTGAACCTCTGGAAATCGTGCATGACTTCGCGCTCTGTCATAGCGTCGTTACTGTTAGATATAGAGGAGCTAGCTGCTACTTTGTTTTCTTTTGATATTGTTCATGTAAGGAGACATGCAAACATTCCAGCCCACCTATGTGCTAAGAAAGCTTGCACACTGGAGGCAACGGAGTGTTGGATGGACCCCCCCGGGTTCCTGGTCACTAGCCTTATGGCGGACAGGACTGGTGCCTCATCATATGAATAAAGCTCTTCATTATCCCGCAAAAAAGAAAAAGAAAATATATACTTATATTAGAAGACGCCATAATTCATTAGGAGTACCAGTATTACTTAGTTTCTCCTTTGAATTCTGAGCCCCATATACTGTTGTGGTTATATACGCTTTCCAGTCGAATGTTAACAAGATGACCGCGTGGCCTAATGGATAAGGCGCTCGCCTCCGGAGCGGGAGATTCTGGGTTCGAGTCCTAGCGTGGTCGATTTTTTACAACATCCCAATTTTATTGGTCGATTTTTTACAACATTCCAATTTTATTATTATAGGCTGCGCATGCACGAAATGCAGTACAGAAGTTTTTTTTTTCTTTAATCTAAAAAAACTCGGGATCAATCTCTTTCTTTTTCTAAAAAGGATTGGGCCAAGAAAGTGACATGATACGATAATGAGGCTTGACAAGTCGATTTTTTACAACATTCCAATTTTATTATTATAGGCTGGGCATACACGAAATGCAGTACAGAAGTTTTTTTTTCTTTAATCTAAAAAAACTCGGGATCAATCTCTTTCTTTTTCTAAAAAGGATTGGGCCAAGAAATTGACATGATACGATAATGAGGCTTGACAAGTCGATTTTTTACAACATTCCGATTTTATTATTATAGGCTGGGCATACACGAAATGCAGTACAGAAGTTTTTTTTTTCTTTAATCTAAAAAAACTCGGGATCAATCTCTTTCTTTTTCTAAAAAGGATTGGGCCAAGAAATTGACATGATACAATAATGAGGCTTGACAAGTCGAGCTACGGCAGGAATCTAGGTGGCAACTGAGTTATCAATTTTGCAATTTACGAATTCTTTTGTCAAGGGTCAAAACGTAGGCAGAAAATGCATCAAGTTACTAATTCTTTTGTCGAGGGTCAAAACATAGGCAGAAAATGCGTCAAGTCAGTGCCCAATAGTTGAGATGAGAATCATAGAGTATGAAATGGACAGGGGCGCTAGAAGCTTATTTCATTATGTTATGATGAAACTTCATCTCTGGCATTACAAAACCAGCGTTTGTACTAGGACTGCTATAATCGAATTTGAAAAGGCGCTGAAGCTAAACTTGCATTCATACATCAGAAGGGACAAGTTGACCCGTGCTGGGTTAAAAACTCTTGGATTTTGCTGCTGTACATCTATCTCTACGGTCAACAAGTTCCAATAAGTACTCGGAAGGTGATACCATAAAATTCCGAATCACCTCCAAGAAAAAAAAACCGTTCACACAAACATACACTGTGTAACTCTGCTATTACGCGGATCAAGTACCTCACCCCAAAAAAAAAATCAGATTTGTTGACCAGCGTCAAATTTGATGTGCCTACATCCGGTGGTGGCTTGAGGCCGATGCAGCGCCTTCAGATCAGGGCATACCACAGACCCTCTCTGCGACATTGAAGATATTCCATGTTGAGTTAAACCAGGTCAAATTTGAAGTACCTCCTTCGATGATCCCAGACATGCAACTTCTTTCAAATTTGGCTTGTTGACAAATCTTTCTAGTGATCCTTTCATATTCAGATTTCTCCCGAAAGAATTATGCATGAAGAAGCACAATCCTAGCTTGTGGTTCTGCATTTGAATCTCACACCTGCCTCAAAAGGTCTGTAGAGAAGTCAAGTTCAGCCTCCTCAAAGAGAATAAAACATTCTCCCCCATATGCTCTTTAGGAGAAAGATTAATCATAATGGCGTCATGTGAGATCATGAGTGCCCCTGCGCTGAACAACCCAAAATATCAATGGGATGCTTTCTTAGTCCACCGGAGCAGATAGCCTGAATGCTGGAATACCCACCGACTCAGCTAAAAAAGGAACGCGCAAAAGATTGATTCTCCTTGCTTAACTGACCAAACCATTCAGAAATCTGACTCGCTTGCAGAACACATGGACCTGATAATGGTCCAGTCTGGCTAGAAACTATTTTATCAAATGTCAATGGAAAGAGACTGAGCAGCGCACCAATGGCAGAGAACTGAACAGGTATGCTCCTTGATCTTGTAAAACTCGTCCCTATTAGCACTGCTAACTTGTTCCTCAGCTCAACTACTGCTTCTGTCTCATAACCAACATCATCAATGAAAAACCTGCAAAATAGTAATCAAGCAATTGTAAAATGTCAATGAAAAATGAAAACAGCTCGAGAAGGTAACGTGTACCAGCACTAAATCTATTAACAGAAGTTGAAACAGTATTTATGCAATAAACATGCACAAAAGGCATATTTCAAAATAAAAAGAAGAGGGGGAAAGAGACTATCACCCTTAAAAGGCCTAAAGATAAAGAACATGCTAAACTAGAGAGAACATAGAAAGCTAAGAGATCATTTCACCACTAATAGACTCATTTAAAGAACATATAATCATGGCAGAGTATCAGTCATATCAAAAGAGCTGGTCTAGCTTGGAGAATGAAGACCGTAAGTCAAGAACAGATTGTACCACCGGTTTCATGCTTAAAAGAATGCGAGAGAAGAAATGCAGGGCCTCCCAGTGTGAAGAATTCTTGTGACAGTGTCTCAACTTAATCATGTGAAAGAAAGTTCCCAAGGATGCCACTGTGACATTAGATTCTAATCTTTACACCCATCACATATATTGGAATAACTGGTAGAGTTTTCTTTAAGAAAAAAAACACCACCTCAACAATCAAGATATATGAGATCTCAATTTCCAAAAAGATGTACCAAATATTTTCCAACATGTTCTGCTGTATACTTAGATTAGCAAACATAAAACTGCATAATACACACGTGATGTCACACAACACATGCACCTGGGGTCTTCTAGTGATGGAAAACTGATCAGTCACCCATCATGAGAGAAGGAGAAGAAACAATTCAATAACCCCCTCCCCCCCAGTGTTCTTTATTTGATGTTTAAGACTTTTGTATAACTCCGCCTATGTTGTCTCAACATAGCCGGTCCCAAGCCCGGGCAAAGGAGGAGGGTTGTGATAGGCTTGGCGAGCCAACATAAAAACTCAGCCACTCTTATGGAGATGAAACCCAAAAGATTTTCGTTGGGGCGTAACCCTCTCAGCGACGCGCTACATCGGAACCCGGGTGTGGTGGAAAATGGGCAAGGGCAGGGCTGTCACCCCCAAGGTAGCGCGCCGTATCTTGATCCGGATACGGTGGCAAGTAAGCGAGGATCAGGTCGTCGCATCCTTAGTGGCGCGCTACATCGGCGCCCGAATGTAGTGGAAAATGGGCAAGGGTCTTCGCATTTGACTCGACGAGTGCGAAGGGTAAGGAAGCTAGCCGAGCCTAGGAGGATTCGCTTAGGTAGCTGGAACGTAGGGTCTCTGACAGGGAAGCTTCGGGAGCTAGTTGATGCAGCGGTGAGGAGAGGTGCTGATATCCTTTGCGTCCAAGAAACCAAATGGAGAGGACAGAAGGCGAAGGAGGTGGAGGATACCGGCTTCAAGCTGTGGTTCACGGGGACGGCTGCAAACAAAAATGGCGTAGGCATCTTGATCAACAAGAGCCTCAAGTATGGAGTGGTAGACGTCAAGAGACGTGGGGACCGGATTATCCTGGTCAAGCTGGTAGTTGAGGACTTGGTTCTCAATGTTATCAGCGCGTATGCCCCGCAAGTAGGCCACAATGAGAACACCAAGAGGGAGTTCTGGGAAGGCCTGGAAGACATGGTTAGGAGTGTACCGATTGGTGAGAAGCTCTTCATAGGAGGAGACCTCAATGGCCACGTGGTGTACATCTAACACAGGTTTTGAAGGGGCGCATGGGGGAGTTGGCTATGGCATCAGGAATCAAGAAGGAGAAGATGTCTTAAGCTTTGCTCTAGCCTACAACATGATTGTAGCTAACACCCTCTTTAGAAAGAGGGAATCACATCTGGTGACTTCTAGTAGTGGCCAACACTCTAGCCAGATTGATTTCATCCTCTCGAGAAGAGAAGATAGGCAGGCGTGCGTGCCTAGACTGTAAGGTGATACCTGGAGAGAGTGTTGTACCCCAGCATAAGCTGGTGGTTGTTGACTTCCGCTTTCGGATTCGTGTCCAGCGGGATAAGCGTGCCAAAGTCCCTAGAACGAAGTAGTGGAAGCTCAAGGGGGAGGTAGCTCAGGCGTTCAAGGAGAGGGTCATTAAGGAGGGCCTTTGGGAGAAAGGAGGGGATGCGGACAATGTGTGGATGAAGATGGCAACTTGCATTCGTAAGGTGGCCTCGGAGGAGTTTGGAGTGTCCAGGGGAAGGAGAAGCGAAGATAAGGATACCTGGTGGTGGAATGATGATGTCCAGAAGGCGATTAAAGAGAAGAAAGATTGCTTCAGACGCCTATATCTGGATAGGAGTGTAGACAACATAGAGAAGTACAAGATGGCGAAGAAGGCCGCAAAGCGAGCTGTTGGTGAAGCAAGGGGTCGGGCATATGAGGACCTCTACCAACGGTTAGGCACGAAGGAAGGCGAAAGGGACATCTATAAGATGGCCAAGATCCGAGAGAGGAAGACGAGGGATATTGGCCAAGTCAAATGCATCAAGGACGAAGCAAGCCAACTCTTGGTGAAGGACGAGGAGATTAAGCATAGATGGCGGGAGTACTTCGACAAGCTGTTCAATGGGGAGAATGAGAGTTCTACCATTGAACTGGACGACTCCTTTGATGAGACCAGCATGCGCTTTGTGCGGCGAATCTAGGAGTCTGAGGTTAAGGAGGCTTTAAAAAGGATGAAAGGAGGCAAGGCGATGGGCCCTGATTGTGTACCCATTGAGGTGTGGAAAGGTCTCGAGGACATAGCAATAGTATGGCTAACCAAGCTTTTCAACCTCATTTTTCGGGCAAACAAGATGCCAGAAAAATGGAGACGGAGTATATTAGTACCAATCTTCAAGAACAAGGGGGATGTTCAGAGTTGTACTAATTACCGTGGAATTAAGCTGACGAGCCATACAATGAAGCTATGGGAGAGTCATTGAGCACCGCTTAAGAAGAATGACAAGCATGACCAAAAATCAGTTTGGTTTCATGCCTGGGAGGTCGACCACGGAAGCCATTTTCTTGGTACGACAACTTATGGAGAGATATAGGGAGCAAAAGAAGGACTTGCATATGGTGTTCATTGACTTGGAGAAGGCCTATGATAAGATACCGCGAAATGTCATGTGGTGGGCCTTGGAGAAACACAAAGTCCTAGCAAAGTACATTACCCTCATCAAGGACATGTACGATAGTGTTGTGACAAGTGTTCGAACAAGTGATGTCGACACGGATGACTTCCCGATTAAGATAGGACTGCATCAGGGGTCAGCTTTGAGCCCTTATCTTTTTGCACTGGTGATGGATGAGGTCACAAGGGATATACAAGGAGATATCCCATGGTGTATGCTCTTTGCGGATGATGTGGTGCTAGTTGACGATAGTCGGGGGTAAATAGGAAGTTAGAGTTATGGAGACAAACTTTGGAATCGAAAGGGTTTAGGCTTAGTAGAACTAAAACCGAGTACATGATGTGCGGTTTCAGTACTACTAGGTGTGAGGAGGTTAGACTTGATGGCCAGGTGGTACCTCAGAAGGACACCTTTCGGTATTTGGGGTCAATGCTGCAGGAGGATGGGGGTATTGATGAAGATGTGAGCCATCGAATCAAAGCCGGATGGATGAAGTGGCGCCAAGCTTCTGGCATTCTCTGTGACAAGAGTGCCACAAAAGCTAAAAGACAAGTTCTACAGGACGGCGGTTCGACCCGCAATGTTGTATGGCGCTGAGTGTTGGCCAACTAAAAGGCGACATGTTCAACAGTTAGGTGTGGCGGAGATGCGTATGTTGAGATGGATGTGCGGCCACACAAGGAAGGACTGAGTCCGAAATGATGATATACGAGATAGAGTTGGGGTAGCACCTATTGAAGAGAAGCTTGTCCAACATTGTCTGAGATGATTTGGGCATATTCAGCGTAGGCCTCCAGAAGCTCCAGTGCATAGCTTACGGCTAAAGCGTGCGGAGAATGTCAAGAGAGGGCGGGGTAGACCGAATTTGACATGGGAGGAGTCCGTTAAGAGAGACCTGAAGGATTGGAGTATCACCAAAGAGCTAGCTATGGACAGGGGTGCGTGGAAGCTTGCTATCCATGTGCCAGAGCCATGAGTTGGTTGCGAGATCTTATGGGTTTCACCTCTAGCCTACCCCAACTTGTTTGGGACTAAAGGCTTTGTTGTTGTTGTTGTTGTTGTTTAAGACTTTTGTATACTTACTATTTTCCTAAAAGGCACAAGGTAAACCACATATTAAGTTGAGTGTCTTGCTACCATATTAAATTGTTTGTCCCCGAAACATCGTATCTTTAACCTTTGTGGCTAACAGATAAAGAAATTAAATGCAGGAAAGGGTAGACAAATTGAGCTAGGGGAACTACAGGAATAAGTAGGCACATGACTAGTACCTCTTACTAAAATCCCGTAACATCAAATAGAAAGAACACATTTCCTCGTAAAATCATGAAATAAGAGGCAGTACATATTTCACAACTGTGTAAGTGATTTCTAAGCATTCATATTTAAAAGAAGAAGGAAAATGGCACAAACCTTCCAAGCTGGCTGACAAGTACCAAGAGAGCAGCTGAATACTCCTCACATGTGCATGATTCCAAAATCTTCAGAAGACGGACAACAACATTTTTGTATGTCCACTCGCAGCTCTAAAAACAAACATGAATAGTCAGTCTATAATGAAACAGATGATGTGTGCAATTGCATAGCAGATATTCGATTGCTACTAATAATAAGAAGAATAGTTTCAACTTAAGCAAAGTTCATCAAAAGAGCCATGATGCTAGAAACAACGATGTTTAGTTCTTTTGAAATGATTCTGATTTGACATGGGAGTTAAAGGTAAAAACTACTACCTCTGTAACTAAATACAAGACATTTTTGCAACTCAATTTGAACTGCAAAAACATCGTATATTTAGTTATGGAGGTAGTATTAAACTAATACTATCTAACTATGAAATACAAGAGCTGAAAAATTCCCCTGGGACATGAAAATGTGCTGTCTGGCAGTCAATATTGTTCACATGTTAGATAACTCCAAAAAATAAACTATCAAGATAAAGTGAAATCAAGTAAGATGAAGAAGTTGACCATACCATGTAGTTCCCAAACAGCTCAAGCAGAGATATTATCTCAGTGAAATAGCACAGGTCTCTCTCTGCAGGATAATTGGTATCCTCAGTAAAATTTGCTTGCTTGGAGATATTGCAAGATTCACCACAATTGATCTCCAGTCCACTTGATCCTGAATGAGAACTGTGCCTTGTAATAGCTTCATTTGAATTGGCATGATTGTTCCATGACAGAGCACATAAATCTAGCTCATCGAGCAGAGAAGAGATAAAAACATCTATAGACACTGTATCCACATCAAACACACAATGTGTACAGGATGGGAAAGCTGTTGGTCTATTGGACTGAATATAAGATGACACAAGGCACGAAGAAGTGTCTGTGCTCTCGAGAAGCAGGACAACCAACCGTACAGTTGTCATGAGAAGGTTACAGCTCTTCAGAAAGCGCAACTTATCACCACATACGGAACCAAAGACATGGAGAGCCAACATGGTCCAGGAAAGGTTTAATTTGCCCATCTGAAGAACTCTGTATGAAACCTCTAAAACCACATCCAGCCTCTCCACTTTAACACATATTGAAGCCAAAAGGATGCAAGCAGAGATAAACTGATTTACAGTCGCAGGCTTAGTGGATACTTGTATGCCAGTTTCATCATCTAGGTGACAATACTTGATTGCAACAGAATTCCTAACTCCCATTTTATCGCAAACCATAACTTCTTTGTTCACGAGAAAATCCTCAATTAAGGAGACAAGGACATCCAGATGGTTGCTTTTTAGGAGGCCCAATATCGTTTCCATGTAAGGTTTCACTGCAAGGAAAATAATGGAAATTTCAAAATAATGTCTGAAAACGCGATTCAGAAGCTATTCGTACGACATACAATGACTAGCTCGGTACAGCCATAATCTCATGTGGTGTGGCTCAAGTATAAAATAAGTTAACAACAATGAATTAATGAAGACAACCAAGGCATGGAGTAGTTTCTTATAGAAGAAAGCTAAATCACTTCGACAGAAGAAAAATACTCACAAACTGAACTTGACAAATAACCTACATGTACTTCAGAAGAAAACTCTACTTGCCACATCACAATCTAAGCTTGATGAATAATTTCAGATACTGCCATCAAGGAATTTCAGTTAACACGTGAGAATATTAAATGTTATTGGTAGAAGTAGAAGTAACATTGTGTAACTTTATGAGAAATGATAGTCAAATAGCAGCAATGTCTAAAAGGCTACCAATGGTATATAAAACTGTAGCATTAAAGAAGTTTCTACCTGGTGGAACAGCATCAAAATCAAAAATACAGATTTGGATGGAATTCCATTTTTGTGGTACTTTAGTTGATTTTACTCTTAACTGGTTCTAAACTCTCCCACCCGATAAAGGAACCAAATGTTTGCACAAAGTTCTTGCGCAGCATAAACCACATCAAAGTTGCAAACCCAGTTATTTATTATTTGTTTGCACATAAGGGGGAAAGGGAAATAATAAAGTGATGAAAAAACTGAAATATCGAAAGCCTACCCGTCATTATACCAGTCATGGAAAAGGCCGACGAAGCAAGGTATTGATCAACAGGTTCTGTTGTTAATTTACGAACATCCCACAACAAAAGGGAAAAAATGAGGGGAACCCTCTCTCTGCATAAGAAAACAGAAGTGTTACTTATTTTGCAATATGAATGCTCATGGCAGTAATAGAAGAGCATGTAACTGCTAAAATGAATAGAAAAACAGTCAGCTCAATGCAAGCAGACTTACTCTGGAAGCAGCAGTGATTCGGTTGATACTCTTTCTAGTAATGGACCATCAACATAAATATCCTCAGACAGTTTACCAGCTTCAGAAGACAGGGCATCCCAATAGCGAAGTATCTTTATTAGGCTGCTTCTTTTCAAACTAGAAACGCCAAAAAAGTCAATAGTGTTGTTTCCAGCTCCATGACAACAACCAATCACACTATTTGTGGTCAAACTGACTGGCCCAGCTACTCGTGATTTACTTGTTCCAACATTACTTTGCAGTTCAGGATCTGATGATGCATCAAACATTTGATTTAGCCTGCTTTTATTAGGTGCCGAATGCAAACTGGCATTTGCATGGTCTCTGCAGCTACTTTCTGAGAACTGTGGTCCCATGGTATTCTCCAAATCCACAGCGACGGAAACTAAGGAATTTGAGGCCACATTCCCACGTGAAACATTGACCGATCTGGCTGTAACTGACACATCAACCAATTTGGTGTTGTAAGGATCATTATCTACTGTATTAGATTTATTGTTTGCACACAGCTCCGTAACACTGCCACTGTATTCAGTTCTACTATAGGATGATTGAAACTTAGCATTCTGAGATAATTTCTGAACTTCCGACAAACTGCCATCAGACCTTGACGCAGAACAATCTCTATCATATTGAATATCATTGCCATCAACCAAATGCGGAGACATAGGCCTTCTAGTTATAGTGGGTAGAACAATGGGCACATCTGGTGAAAGAGGTCTCTTCATTGCCTTTCTGTACTTCTCCTCATCAGCATCATTGTCCAAATTGAGCAACTTCAAGCAGTCCCCTTCAATCAATTTCTCAAAAGAGAGCAATGAAGCAAATTTACTGCCTGCGCAAGCATTTGCTGCTCCAGGAGACAATACTTTAGCACAGCCACTCAAGGATTTATCAACGGCCGCATGACATTTCCTGCTACGATTTTGCGAGCCCTCTTTGTTTATACATGGGATGATGATATTTTGTTGCTGCGGACATGAACGATCATCACCGAATGCCAAATAATTATTTGCAGCGGCATCATGGGGAAGTGATTCTACAGAATTTTTTGTCCTTTTTCTCTTCCTACCACCATTAGGCATTTGATCTACAACTTCTGTACCACCAGGCAGTAATGACTTCAATGCCTTCCGTCGAGATGAATGACCAGAAATCTCCAGCAGCGCTCTATCTTGTTTCCTTGTACTGCAGTCTTTAGGGGGTAACTCTGAACCTGTGGAGTTCTGGTTCTTTCTGGTACCTGTTGATGAGACAAATAGGCTTTCCTTACCCTGGGAGCCCATGAACTTTTTATCAGATATGGATGTGGGACGTGAAGATCTGTGGTGATTTTTGGACTCCGTTCTGAGAGCACTACCAATAGGAGGCTCTAATTCAGAACTAGTACCTGAGATTGGTCTTGTGCAGCTTTCTCTAGGCAACTGATATGAAGTGTATTCTCTTGGGGCAGAAGTAAAAGGAATAATCCCAGCTTGTAACCCGAAATATGGGGCAGCAACTGGATTACGAGGACGAAGAGTACGTTCCAAGTCATGTACCTCCGGTTGACGCTTCAGCTGCCAAGATGATCAATGATAAGGTTAGTTCATATAAAAGTAGGTGCAAGAGAAAATTCTTAGCGAATGTGAGAACTTAAAAGTATAGGTGCATACTAATAAAATTCAGCAGCTGATCAACAGAATATTAGTGGCATCTACATGTAAAAACACTAGCAAGTGCACATCATTTTGTCTAAATATACCAATTGCACCTCTAGTAACATAAAAAATGACCTCCACTTTAGTCTTTATATCAAAATGTGCTTTGGACTTACGTTTGCAAACTACGACTCAGATATTAAATTGTTTTAGTTTAAATGTGCTTTGGACTTACATTTGCAAACTACGACTCAGATATTAAATTGTTTTAGTTTAAATGTGCTTTGGACTTACATTTGCAAACTACGACTCAGATATTCAATAGTGTAAACAGAAATTGATTCAAACAATTTACATTTAAGTATCAAACTGGCACAAAATGATAACAATATTCAATATATTTATTGTTAAAACTATCATAAAATAAGTTTTTTTTAGTAACATGTTAATATAGAATGGGAAAAGTTAGAACTGGTAGATCGAGCATCTAAAATGATATCGAATTCGAGAATAGAGGAGCTAACATTTTCTTGCCGTACTACAAACCCCTTCACTGTTAACTTTCCTCGATTCTTCGATGTGAACACATGAAGATTGACAAAAGCAACTGTGATGTCTCCATTTGAAAACAGAATGCAGGTCCTTTTAGCATTGGAACAGTAAAAAAAATCTAAGTTTGACCATCTCTAATGATGAAAAACTACTAGCACCTAAATGATGTTACTAGATTTATCGTTAAGTCTACTTTTACAGTCTGAGCAGACTAACAGAAAAAATTCCAACATGTTGACAATTTCCGTATGAAGAAATTCTCTGTTTGCAGTAGTGAGCTATTGTACATTGAATTTGAAATTATACATTACCATGATACCTTTGAGCATCAAATTCTACATAACTACCTTCCTTCATAGAGCTCATGATACTGATAAGTAGCTATCAGGATACATACCTTTTTCATTGCATGAATACCTTCAACACCACCAGCAAGATGGTCATCAAGCATGTTAAACCGATTCAGCGGCTTCATCCAGTCCTGTTTTAGGAGCTCAATCTCTTTTCTTATCAATGATTTCTCTAACTTTGATTCATTTTTCACATGCTTTAGTTGATCTTTCTTCCGCTTCAGCTTCTCTTTGAGAAGTTTTATGTTAGCACTTTCAGTAGCTACACCAATATGTTGTATTCCATGTTTGCCAAGAGAAACCATATCCCTAGTGGCACTCAAATCATCAGACTTCCTCTGTAAACATTCACTACGTTTTCTCTCCTCTTCCAACTTCTGTAACAGGTGGTCTGCACGGTTTTTCTCAGACATAGCATTCTTTCTTTGAGCCTCAATGCTAACTTGCAAGCTTTCATTCAGTTTCTTCTGTTCCTGTAACTGTGCAAGCAAATGGTTAGAATGGCTCTTCTCTTCCATTGCCTTTTTCCTCTCAACTTCAATTAGTTTTTTGTTCTTCTCTGCTAACATTTTTTCAGAATCAGCACATTTCTTTTCTCTGGCAGCCTTCTGCTTCTCCGCTTCGGCCTTTTTATGTGCCTCCCCTGTTTTCTGAATCTGAGCAGACAACTGCGCCCTGGTTTCATTTACTTCAGTCCTCAATTTTTCACATGATGCCTTCAAATCATTGGCTATTTTTCTTTCTGTATCAGCAAGCCTTTTGTACTCTTCATACTTATGTGTTTCAGACTTCAATAATTTTTGCGCTTCTAAAGCCTTGCTCTTTGCTTCTTCGACCTTTTTCTTCTCAGAATCACTTTTCAACTTTTCTTCTCCTAAAACCTGTTTGAGCCTTCTATTTTCTTCCTCCAACTCAGAGATGCGTAAGAGCTCATCACTGTTTTTGCCAAAATTTTGTTTTTGATGCAGGGCCAAGTTCTCAGCCTTCAGTTCAATTACCTCTTTCTCTAATATATCTCTGGCATCAGACTCGGTTTCCCTAGCTGCTTCTGCTGAATCAGCTCGGAGACGCTCCTCCTTGCACACTGACCATCCAGAAAGCAGGAAGAACAACCTATTAGTGCATGATGTGCATACCGAAAGGTTCACAGATGAAGTGGTAAAGCCATGTAGAAACAAGAACGCCTTGTGGATTGACCATAGAAATCTTAAGTACTTGAATTTCTAGCTACATGCAACATGGACAAGGTCTATATTACAGATGAAATAGTGGATGTTGAGAGTATAAGAAAGCATCAGGAGAAACAAACATACTTTGAAGGCTCATCTTCTTTGGGATAGACACCTTCTGTTAAATTCCTGGTAGCATGCTACTAGCATGCCATTAGATTAGAATTTAGAGCATTAGATACTTCCGAACAACAATCTTTTAATACACGAAGGCTTTTGTTTTCTCCAGATGAAGAAGAGGATTTTATTATAAGGTCAATTAGTGGCTTAACATATACTCCCTCCGTCAGAAAATATTTGTCATCAAAATGGATAAAAAGGGATGTATCTAGAACTAATATACATCTAGATACATCCCCTTTTATTCATTTTGATGACAAGTATTTCCGGACGGAGGTAGTACTAGCAAGCTAAAGTGTGACAACCCAAAATTTAGTCTTTGTTCTTGTTCATCTTGCAAAGTGAGCGTTCTAACACGCTCCAGCTAGCTAGAATCATAATGCGGAAGGAATCAACCAGATCAACACAGCATGAACGAGTTGGAGAACTCCGTACCTTCGGCCAGAGCTGATTTCTCATTCCGCACCTTGTCAATCTCGCTGTTCAGGAGCTTCACCGCCTCCCGCAGCACCGCCCGGCCCTTCTCAATTTGCTGGTACTTCTTCCATAGCTACGGAACCAGAGAAACAAAAAAAGGGGATCCATCAAGAAAGCGAACAGACCGAAAAGAGAACGCGTCGCAAAGAGTCGAGGAGAAGGGGGACCGGTTACCTTGGCGCAGCAGGGATTGGGGCCGCCGGCGGCACCGGCGGTGGCAGCGAGGGGCGGGGTTTCCTGCGAGGAGTCGTTCTCCGCCGTCTCCGCCGCCATTCCGGCGTGATTTGTGGGGAGGTGGGGTTTAGGGTTTGTGCGGCGCGCCGAGGGATTCCGCCTTCCAATACCCAGAGAAGGCCGGCGATGGGAATCGGAATCCGGAACGGGAACCGACTGCCTCGTGAGCGGCACGTGCGGGACCGACAAGAGACGAGGCGGTGGGCCTCCCCTTTTTTTCTAAACTAGAGAGGGAATTCCTTTTTAGGCCTTTTGGTTCAATGGATTCAAACGAAAATTGGAGGATTTAAAGTTGTTTGTTTCTTAGGATTATATAATTCGTATGATTTTTCTTCTTAAGATTCATTTGTACTAGGTTTAATAGAAATTTTTACATCCACTCAAACCTTATGTGAAGAATCTTAGGTTTCTCTTGCGCACAATCAAACACCCATATTGATCCTATAATATCGAAGAAGACATGCCATTCAGTTTATGTGTTTTATCTATTGCTACGTTCTACAAATCCTGCAACTCAGATAGGCCTTTAAGAGCATCTGTAGCAGAGCCGCTATAATCTCAGCCCGTAAAAACCGTTTGCGCCTCCTCGTATAATGGATTTGTAGCACCGTGCGGCGTCGAGCAGAATAGATGCCGAATTGCGGTACAGGTTTGCCGCATCTATTCCGCCCAATGCCATGCGGTACAGATAAACAATGGCGGTAAAATAAACCAGTGCTCCAAAATGCTTTCAAAAGTAGCATTCTTGGACCATCATTTTTTTTGGCATGGCTTCCACGATGAAACTTTGCAAGCAACTGGAATATTTGTCAATGTTTGTCACAAAATAAATTCAGAATTTTTGGAAAAAATCAATCTTTCTCAAATTTGTAATAATACTTTCCTAGTTTCGTAATACTTGAATATTAATTATTATTAATAAAAAAATTGGAATTCATCAGGTTTGCCTATGATGTGTGACATACACGTGCGATTGTGATTTGTCTGAAAAGGTGCTAATTAAGAAGGGAGAAATTCGTTATTCATGTGTTGCATGCGCACTTAGTAGATTAGTGGAGATGGAGATTGATCACCAAAAATAAAATAAAAGGCAAACAAGCAAAGAAATTGTACTCTTTTTTTTTGCTATATATTAGTTCAAAAAAAAAAACACGCTGTACACGTTCATTGTGCGCCAATGGGCTGGGCCTATTGGGCCTGCCTAGTAGTTTGTTGGTTCCCTCACCCTCAAAAAAGAAAAAGAAATAAAAAAGAAAACGAACACGAGAACGACCCGGTGACAGCGTTGTAGCCGGAAAACCCTTGGCCTTCCGTGTTACAAAGGCTTGCGGGAGGATCGATCAACTCCAACAGACCCGGCGGCAAGCATAGAACTAGCGAGATCTGCGAATTGCATAATCGATGGCAGCGGCTCTTGGATTTGCTGCGAGAAGGATGTGCAGTCGTGCCCTTCAGCGACCACCGCAGCCGTATTTTTCGGCGGTCGCCTAAGTTGCCATCAAGGGGGAACAGCGGGGGCTGTTGCCGAGGGTTAGCCATGGCGGGAGCTCTCTTCGCCGGTTCTCCGCCGAATCTCAAAGTCACTTGAAGAATAGCGAGGTATGCACTCGTTCCTGGCCTTGTGGAATTTGCAAAATCAGATCTAGAGTAGTTTTTTTTTTACATCCGCGTTGGTTTTAACAACACATCATATTTGAAAAGTCCGGATTTGCTGTCTAGGATAGAATCCTTGCATATTAGTCGGCAAAAGTGCCAGAAGACAGCATACCTACGTATGCTCATGAGTCATGTCATGTGTACAGTTCTTTTTTAATCTGATATTTATTCCGTTCTATGTTCTATCTACACCTGATATAATGCCGTTCCACCAATGCGCAAAGCCATATCCTTTGTTGATACCAAGCTTTCTAATCCTGTGTTGTCACTATTTGTAATTAACGAGAATGGTCTAAATTTCTTTGCAGCATGGAGCTGTATCCACCGCAAATCCGGTCGGGTCTTCTCCATTAACCAATAATGCACAAACCACGCCCCCTCCACCACTATGGTAATTATGCACTACCTAATTTATATAGTATATTTGCTTGTTGACTGTATATTTGTTCTGAACTTGTTTTTTGTTCTATAGGGCGCCTAGGAACAAAAGGTTTTTACCCCTTGCTGCTGGGTACTTCACTTTTGTGTGTGCAGCAATGTCAGCAGTACTTTACTGGGATACTCGCCCTCTAGTATTGGACACTGAGACGAAGCAGTCTGATTAATGTTCAACCTTCGAAGACCTATGCTTCGGAAAAAGCAGAATAAGTGGAGTTGTTGCGGATGTAAGAACTGTTATTAAAGTATTCCTAGTTGCTGATGTAAGGACTGTTAAAGTGATTCTAGTTGCGGATGTAAGAACTTTGTAAGTGATTCTAGTATCTGACTTGTTGAACAACGGTTATGATGATTCAGTAGTGCTTGAGCTTCGTACCTGTTTTTTTCTTCTGCTTGTGCATGTTGCCACAGCCGAAATTGTTTCTACCGTCTCCTTGCAGCTCTTTTTCTTTTCAGGTTTTACCCCAATTGCCAGTCCCGATAAATTCGGGTTTCATTATTATTATTTTCAACAGATTTGGTCAGTGAAAAAATAAACCGAATTTTCACTATTAAAAACTAAAACCTGAGAGTTCTGTTACCTGATAATTTCGGTTCAGTTTTTGTTTTAACTCGAATTTCAGTATTAAAAACTGATTCCTGAGAGTTCTGTTACCTGATAATTTCGCTTCAGTTTTTGGATTAACTCGAATTATAGTGCATATGAACGCAATATTCACAAGATAGTCCAAACTCTGACATCACAGATGACACAAGATACTTGACCATAACTTCAGCTTCAGCTTCAGGCACTTGCAAAAATAATAAAAACTTCAGCTTCAGGTAACTAAACAAGTTTGGAATGACAAGTGCAAACATAGAGAAGAAAATAGAGCACAGGCACAGTGCAGAAAAGACTTTCACATACTGGCATATAGAGACGTAATGTAAGCTGTAGACAGCAGCACATCAAGCAGTAGAGACTAACAACGATGACAGCACAACAAGCGTTATAGAACACTAGCACACAAGAACTGCCATGGCATAGCAGTGCAGCACACACCACTTTCCACGGCGGCAGTGCAGCACACATTACTCTCCACTCCACGCCTCCTCCAGTCCAGCCTGCTCCAACTGTGAGCCTACAACCATGCCCTGTCGCACGACAACACAAGTGTACAACTTAGAAATATTAGCAGAACAGGAGATTGGCATGGAAAATGTGTTTTTTCGTTTCACAGTTCAAGTTTCCAACTCACCAATATTCAGAAAGTGGATCATTCTACTCTACGAGTGTAGACGGTCGACTTGCTGTTTAACAAAATGTTGAAACATTAAGGTCTGCTAGTTCTTTTTTGCATAATATTATGTCTATAGGGACAAAAGGTGAAAACAAATTTACATACAGCAGGCACCTTACCCCCTTAAATATTTGCCGCTATATAGAATATCAAATTAGATTATTACTTTTCATGTTTTGTTACTTTTACTAGCATGAAACGTTATTATGGTAACATGATTAGTAGGAAGAGAGCGGTTATCATTGCTATAAAGAATCTCAATATATGCTGGAGTTCTACTATTCTATCGGTCATTCAGATATTTTACAGGTTAATAAAAAAATAAGATCGCGTTCAGAAATTCTAGTGATGAGAATTCAAATTTTCATCTCACCGGATTTAAGTAGATGGACCAGCCATGGTGATGAAAGCCTCTTGAGAGGCCTTTGACATTGAAGAATTTCCACTACCATACTCTCACTAGTAGAAAAAGGATCAAATGTGAGACACATTAGTCCCGGTTTGTAACAGAACCGGCACTAATGGAGGCGGGAGGAGCTCTTTAGTACCGGTTCGTGGCGAACCTTTAGCACCGGTTCGTGCCACGAACCGATACTAAAGAAAGTGGTGGCAGGATGTTGTCAGAGTGGGGCCCTTCCAGCACCTTTAGTACCGGTTCGTGGCACGAACCGGTACTAAAGGTCGTCCTATATAAACCCTTCGTCCACCCGCACTCTGTTCTTCCCCCTTTCCCCTCTCCCTCTCCTCTGTTCTTCCCTTCTTCCTCTCGAGTTCATCACAAAATTTGCCCCAAATTGTCAAGATTTGCAGGCCCCCATCCATTCAAATGATCACCAAGGTTAGCAACTTTGTCCTTTCATCTCTCATTGCTAGATTAGCTCTTGCATTGGTTTATATAGTGATTAATTGTGGGTTTTAGTAATTTGGGAGGAATTATATGTGGTAGTATTTGATTTATATGCAATTTGAGGTCAAAATAACACTTAGTTTGCATATGTAGGTGTGTTTTACTTAGTGCCTTCTAAATCTTCGTCGTAACCACCGTCGATCGCCCGCACCGTCCCGTCGCCGGCACCACCTTGTGGTGAGCCTCTTGTTCATGAAATTTTATATAAAAAATTGATGTTTGTGTGATTTGGATATATAGTTACTCGTATAATTATCTTACCCATACGTTGTTTGTTATACATAGTGCCATGGTTTTGATATCCGTCCCCGTCGGCCCTCGTCCTTGTTATGATTTGGATGTGGTATATTCTCTTTTAAAACTATTTGTTGCATTTCGTGTTTATGACAAATTATGCCCATCAAGTTGACATAGATATTTTTATCTAGGAGGTATGTGAACCAGAAATTCCAACCGACCCTATTGTCGAGAGGTTAAATTTAGTTGAAAGAGAAAACGAGTACTTGAAAGAAAAATTGAAAAGAATTGAGGGGGAGAAGATGGAATTGGAGTTGCATGTTGCCGATGTCGTCGATGATCACAAGATCAAGATGGAGAAAATGCGCTTGAAGATTAGAAAGATTAAAAAATATGCCATCGATAGTGAGCCTTGGTATCATTATGCTGTTGGATCAATTGTTACCTTAGTTGCGATCTTGATCGCATTTGTTGTTGCATTTAAATGCTTTAGCTAGAGAGTTATTTGTTTGTTGCATTTA